TGGTACTCTCAATTTCACCAGGAACCTGTGGCCCAGTCTCCAGGTCTTGTCTGACCTAGGAGAAAACATCTCCTAGAGGATTTTTTTTTTTTTTTTTTTTGCTATCTTGAGATAAATTTCACTAGTACTGAAAACTCAATGTTCTAGAGTTGTAAAGACCATCTACTTTTTAAAAAGAAATATTTAAATTATATCATGGAAGAAACTGCTTATATACATGGTCCAATATGGTTGTTTTAATAAGAAAATTTTATCAATTGTTTTTCGGATTCAAAATAAAAGAACTGCTTTTAAGATACAACATCTAAATGATTCTAAACAATTGTGATTATTTTTGCCCTAAAATACCTTTTCTGTGGATTGTATGGATCCTTTTATGTTGTTCGGTGCCAGGCAGAAACATAATACTCTGTGATAAAAACCAGTGAAAACACAGATTTCATATTCTATAATCCTTTAAAAAATAAAGGAAATCTGTTGTAAATACAGCCTTTTAGGTTATGTTGACAGAGGAGGGGGCAGGTTACACACTAATGGCTTAAAGCAGAATCCACTGTCACAGTTTTTTGTTTTTTAGTGGAGGGGATTCAACCCAAAGCCTCGTGTACTCTAAGCACAAGCTCTCCCTGAGATACACCCTGGCTCCGTAAGTTAATTTCTTAATGATAAAAAGGGGTAGTTTGTATATCCCTAGTCATGAATTTATCTGAGGATTAATAGGGAAATCCACAGATAATCCATAAATCCAGGCATTTTTCCATCTTCCAGTTCTTAAATAATTCACAAATTGTTTATTTTTGTGCCTTTCAAATTACAGCGAGGGTGATCCAGGCTGTCAGAGGGCCGCAGCACAGGACCTAGACAGCTGCATTTGGACACAGCCTGCTTTCCCTCAGTTTTAAGCCTGTTGCTGTTGTCAGAGGCCAACCAGTGGCACTCAAGGAGTTAACCCCTCCCCCCAGGCCCAGAACCCAGGGATGAGGTGGCTAAATATGTATTCCATTCACTGGGGCCTCTGACCTCCAGCCTGAGGAAAGGCGTGTCTTCTCACACTGTTCCCCAGGAACAAAGGCAGCAAATGAGGGTGACTCAGGACTTCTGGTGGCCTCCACACAACTGAGAGTTTTTTCTGAATGATTCCAGTACACACTTAGGAATCAGGAAGACAAACATTTTACTCTTTGCTAACCAAATAAAACATCTCTAAATCATATGCAAAACAACTTTGAGTAAAGGACTACTTAAAAGTCTAGAAACTAAAAGGGGCTTTATGCTTTCAACTTTTCCTCCCTTTGGGGAATAAACAAAGACATCTGCCACATCAAGAGTCTGGTTTTTTCTTTTTTAACTGAATGTGATCATTAAAGTGTACCTTTGGGAGGAGCTTTTGAAATTTTAAACATCATTCTGCAAGCTGCGCTATTTTGAATTTGACTCAAAAGAAAATTTAGCATTTTTAAGTTAGAAAACAAAAACTGATAGCCTATTTCTTGTAATTACATGAAAAATTGTCATAATCTATAACTTATTGAAAATATAGTTTCTCTAAAACTGCATTAAATGGGCTGCTAATAATGAAAAATATTATTAAAATATAACGATGGACCCCCCATGTCACTGGACCACCCCTAAAAATGTACCCAACTACACATCATTGTTGCTATTTAATTTAAAACATATATTAAGTCTGTGTACTTCCTAGCTTTAGACTCTTCATAAGTTTCCCGACTTCCTTTCATAGAGAAGTCTGCCAAGCCATTGATCAATAGTCAACGCTGCAACATCCAGGAAACTTACTATGTGACAGTAGACAGAGGTTTTAAAATGTGTCTATGCTTTCTGTCTCTTATCTCTATTTGTAAGTTCAGATTTCAGGATATCAATAAAGCTCACACTTAGTCAGTTCCAAAGCTTTTCAAGTGCACGTTTGCTTTTTCTTCCCGTCTTTTTTTTCTTTTGTCTTCAATGTATGTCCTCTGCCCCACCAAGACTGTTTAATTCCAAAGCTTTCCAAAGAGCAGCCCCACGTCTGGACAGTCTTTCAATGTGGTAACCATCTCCTTCCACACTCCACTGTTGGAGAAGGCTGGCCAGGATGCCATTGAAAATAAACAAGTACATTCAGCTGCACCTTGTACAGCTTTTCACCTGTCCCCTCCCCAGTGGCCCTTTCCCAGTCCCTAGGACTTCTTTTTTTCTCCCACCAGTGCCTTTCATCTCCTGTTCTCCTGCAGTTCATTAAACCCCACACTCAGACCCACGCATGCTCCAGTCACATGCCATTAGTGATTGACATGAGAGTCATCCTATGCTCATTTAAAAAAAATCAAAAAAAGGCCTCAGAAAATGTTCAGTGCTCCCGATTTTATTTTTTTTTTATTTAATGCTAAAAGTTAAAAGAAAAAAAAAAAAGATACTGTAAATCTGACAAATGACAGAATGCAGGTGATATTTCCATAGCGTGATTTTAAAATATAATGATATCTGAGATTACACTTACTTCAGTTGACATGAATTGCATCATATATAGAAAAAGTATCACCTTCAACTTAAAAAAAAGTAAAGGTTAAAAGGTGGCACACTTTTAAAATACTTGGTGGCCAAGGAAAGGTATATAGTAATAAAGTTGTAAACCATGTGTATGTTCTCATAACTTCAAATGTGAGGCCACATGAAAGACAGTACATCTGTTAAATTCTATAAACTGTTAACGAAAAAAGAAGGGGGAAGCTTCAACACCCTATCCCCTAGTATTCTGAGTATTAAAAGCATAGCTGAAATATTAGGATTTGAAATCTGATACTGCCCACGTACAGTAAGTAGCTTTCTGACATTTCTCTCCAGCTGTGGAGAATCTCTACACTGTCATCAGGTACAACAAAAGATCAAACCCATGTCCCAGTGTTCACTTTTAACTTGGGGACACCAGGAAAAAAACTCAGATCAGCACTCCAGCTGCAAGCCTCCTCAAAGGCCTCCAAGGAGAGGAGCCAGGCTCCAGCAGAGCCTGTGTTATAATAGTGGGAAGCTCTGCAGCCCTTTTAAGCGGGTTAGTCTCCCCCCCCCCCTCCACCACCAGCCCAGGCTGCCTCTTCCACAGCTGGAGAGACTTCTCCACTACAGCAGGATGGTTCTTCATCAGTCTTGTTGGAGAGCTTATCTGCATTAAGGTTGCAAAACACACAGATAGCCACCACAAATTAGGTCAAATGACTGATCAGGTTGTAACATCTATGAGGTCAAATTCCAGTTTATAATAAAGTGCCTAGAAACATATTTATACAACAGACCATAGTAGCTGAATTCTTCACAAATGTCTTTACGGGCATGTAAAACTGACTTTTTTGCATGTGTACATTCACATAAATAGAGACCAGTCTGATCTGAGTCATGGATACACCAAAAAAAAAAAAAAAAGGTGTAAGGACTAACCATGCAAGCCTTACTGTAGCACAACAATGACTGTGACGTGGATTCAAACAGCACTAGCAATGGGTGCACTCATCAAAATCACCATGAAAAAATACTGTATTTGGTGCAGTATCTGATTTTCAACTGTTAGTAACTTGACCACTAAAAAATATTTTGAGCAATTTCAAAAAAAAGACAAACACAACTAAAAAAAAAATCCAAAGTTGGTAATAATCTATATTTTCAAATTAGAACAGAAGCTAGGTTGTGAATAATACAAATTGCAGTAGACCTAGAAGCCATGATTCGGCCCAGTTATAAGGCCAAGTTACAAACACCTGAACATAAGGATTTAAAATAGTGTTCCTGTCAATATTAAATCAAAACAGCACAAAAGAAAAACCAGTATGCTGTGAGACAACTATTTCTAATAACTGATGATTTATTGGTTTAAAAAAATCATTTTACTGATGCAAAATAGTGATCAAAAAAGATTAACTTACAAAAGACTTCTAAAAATTGTTTGAGAGGTGGGGCCTGCCTGTTATGTAAAACCCTCAATTTCTTTAATTTTCACTAGTTTATCTTTTTTTTTTTTTTTTTTCCAGAACAGTATTATTCACTTGGTATTTCAGACACATGTAAGAAGGAAATTACAGGTTTCCTCCACCCACAGTTGGGCCGTCACTGATATGCCCACAGGCGGTCCTGGCAGACCCGGGCTTCACTGTCATTGTACCATACTGTATTCAGCACTCACTAAAAACGTGTGACAGTATTGACAGCGACAGCACTACAGGTAAATGATAAAAAAAAACAACAACAACAAAAAAAAACAAAACACAACCAATCCCACAATCTCTAAGTTCTCCTGGACTGCAACTTCTCTGGCAACTCTTGCAGAGGAACCGACCACAGCAATGACACACAGCTCTCGGGTGTTGAACAGATGAAGTGGCGCTGCAGAGCCAGCCAGGCTGCTCAAAGACGGCAGTGCCATCTTGCACACGCCACCACCCACCACGCTGCTCCATCACTGGAGCTGCGTCTTATGTAACCAACTAGCATGCGGCACTGTACTCCTACAACTGATCACGTGGACAGTGAACAGCGGTCAACTTTGCCTCAAGAAAAACATCCCCCCCCAAAAGCCCCACAATGCTGAGAATCTCTCAGCAGCACCTCTCAGACAGGCAATGTCTTAAATTGAACTTTAAGAACAAAACAGAAATCCAAAACCTATCTTCCTGCCCCTCCGAGAGGACATGTTTTGGGGTAAACTTGGAGATATTTCCCAGTGGCATGCCCACTTGACAACAATGCCCCTTTCACTTATTTCCTTTTCTTCTCCACCAAGCAGCCTCCAGCCTGAGAAAGGGGCCAGCAATAAGGAATAACAGACAGTAAGGCAATCTTACAATGTCAGAAAATGTATTTGGCTTTTTTTTTTTTTTTCGTTTTAAAATAAGTGCATACAAATACAGCTAGAAGCATTTCTGATTTGCCAAGTGCTCTAAAAAAGCAGCCAAGTCACAGCCTACAAGGACCGGTAACTGTCACCAGGATAATAAAGCACAAAGATATGCTAATAACGTTAACAAAAGAAGAAAATGCCTTTATAAGTACATACCTTTTGTCGTCAAAAAAATATAGAAACACAATGTATTCAAAAAAAATCAAAATTATACAGCCATGTGTATGAAGTCTACATTTCCCTTGTCTTGGATATATATATATGGAGATATATATACAATTCAAGCAGTTTTAGTTAAGGATAACCACTGGGTTTTTCTGAAACCGGAAAGTCATGAGTCTCTCTCCTTTTTCACTTTCACATCTCCAGCAAGGATGGTTGCAATTTCCCCCTGCATAAAGGCCCAGGGAACATTGGAGCCCACCAGAGGGCATTTCTCCCCACTGGGACAATAGACCTCTCCACTAGCTCCCTGCTGTTTGATGCTCTGTCTGGAACAAGGGAAGCAGAACTTGTGAGAAGGGACTGAAGGGCACTGCACAAAGTGGGTGTCCTCCAGCCGCTCGTGGCAGAGGGTGCAGCACAGGGGGGCGCTGGCTGCCAGAGAGGAGTCCGGGAGGCTGGCAGGGTGCACGGGCTCCAGTCCTCCTGTGCCGCCTGCCCCCTGGCCTCCCACCTCTCGGGGGCCGAGCCTTCTTTGGTTCATAGAGGACGGGGAGGGTGGACTGCTGCTATTCCTCCTGGTGGTGGAGTGGACCTGGTTGGCATCTTTCGAGGCATGACTGCCCCCTGCATTGTCTGCTACTAAGATTAGGGCTGCCATGGGGGACTGGCCATTCTGGGCCGCTTCAGGCGGTGTGGTCCGGTTGGAATGAGGTGAGGCAGTGGGTGGTGGTGGAGATACAAAAGAGGATGTAGGGGTCATGGGGATCTTGAGCCCTTCGCTGGAAGTGGACAGCCATGGCTGGGCCTCTCCATTGATCTTAGGGGGCCCAACTTCACCTTCTGGTTCTGGAGAAGGCTTTCTTTTCCTTGCTGTTCTTGCAACTGGAAAAACAAAGAAATGGAAGGAAAAAGGGTAAGTGAAGGAGCACTGAAAGGGACCTTTTTTTTTTTTTGCTAAAATGAAACAAAACTTGTTGCAGAATTTCTACTCTCCAAAAGCACACTTTAGTCACACAAGTTATGCATGCAGCTCCAAACACACCTAGGGGTCTCTGAGGCAGCACACCAACCTAAAAGGAAACTAAAGCCCAGGGAATGGCCCATTCTCACACATGCATGCCTGTGCCCAGGACAGAGTTGTGCTTGTGACTACTAATGTCCCCGACAGGTTAAAAGGTGCCCTCATGCTCCCATCCAAGAATGTGCTGGGAAAGGAAAACCCCGAGTCTGTGCCTATCAATCAGCTCGGTCTGACTCATCCCTGTTATGCTGCTTCAGCACATGAACACGTTGCCACTAAGCACTGGTTCCGCCTCGGGCAGATCAGGAAGTCGGGTGTTTGTTGTTTCTGAGCTGGGGCAGAACGGTGCACCGAAAGAACCTCCCCCTCTAAGCTCAGCGCCCCTCGACCCCTTCGCTCCACAGCCGCCCCTACCTGCTTTAGACCCGTTGGCCCCGTTGGCCTCGAAACCCAACAACCTGCCTGCAGTCAGGGCCGGTTCCTTCTTGAACTTGCTCTCGAAGGGCCCAGAGTGGCTGTGCTGGTGCAGCGCCAGCAGCGTGTCGCGCACGGTCTTGGGCCTGTTGACCCAGTCCTGCTCTCCGGGTCCGCGGCCTTTGCCCGCGCCCTCGGCGCCCAGCTCGGCGGCGCCCGCCGTGCTCGACAGGCTGTCTGCCGGGCCACGGTGAGCGGGCGGCGGCGGCGGCTTCTCCTTGGCTGCCGCCTCGCGGGGCTCGTGCTCCGCGGCAGCGCTGCTAGACACGGACGCGGGCCGCTTGTGGGCGCCCAGCTCGGCAGGTTGCGCGGAGCCCAGGCCCGCGGCCGCGGCCCCGGACACAGCGGCCAGTGAGGCGGCGGCCCGGCCGCTGAGGCCCAGCGCGGCGGGCAGTGGCGCTGCGGAGCCGTTCATGAGCGGCACCAGGGTGGGCGGCACAGCATGGCCACGCCGCGGGTTCGGGCTCTGGCGGTTCAACTCAGGGGGCTCCTCCAGCTTGGAGAAACCGTTGGGCACCAGGATGCCGTTCACGGGCGGAGGCTGCGGCGTCGGCGGCTGGGCCAGGCTGGCGGCTGCGCGGCTGCCGAAATCGGAGCCCAGGCGCGGGGCGCGCTCGGCCGCAGCGGCCAGCGGGTAGCGCTCCAGGGCCTGCGGCGCGCGGGGGGCCGCCTCGGGGCCGGCGTGGCCGAGCTGCTGCTGCTGCTGCAGGAGGAGGTCCTTGGCCGAGAGCGGCGGCGGCTTGGCGGCTGAGGGCGCCGTGGCGCCGGGCGGGGAGCGGCCCTCCGGGAAGCAGCCGTGCGCCCGCTTGAGCTGCCGCGCCGTCTCGATGACGAACTCGACGCGGTCGGCGCCCTCGTAGTTTACGCAGCCGCGGCAGACGGGCTCGGTGAAGTCCCAGATCATGGCCCACGGCATGCGGGGCAGGTCACACAGGTAGCACGACTGTCGCCGGGACGCAGCCGCCACCGCCACCGCCGCGGCCATGTCCGCGGAGCCCGCGGCGCCGGAGGCGCAGGAGGAGGAGGGGGCGCTGCCGCCCCCAGCAGGCAGCCCGCGCGCCCGCCGCGCCCCCCAACCCCGCGTCTCTCCGACCAGCGGCGGCGGCGGCCGCAGAGGTGGCGGCGGCGGCGGCAGAGCCCGCGAAGGCGCGGCGCCCGCGCGGCGCCCCCGGTGCACGAGGGGCGGCGGGCGCGCGGCGAGGCGCGGCGGGCGCGGCAGCAGGTCCCCGCGGGCGGCGGGGCGGCGCGGCGGCGGCTCGGCCGGGGCCGCGGCGGGCCTCCAGACCGGAGCGAAAACGGGGCGCGCGGGCGAGAGCAGCAGGTCGCAGCGGCGGCCGGCGGGGGGCGGGGAGGCCTGGGGGCGGGGGACGGGGGGCGGCCGCCGGGGCAGGCTCAGCCCGAGCGGCGGGGCATGCCGCGCGGGGCGGCGTGGAGCTCGGGCGCGGCGCACGCCGCGGGCCGCTCCGCCGCTCTGTCCCAGCTCCTGGCGTCGCCTCTCTCCAGCGCCCAGCCCGCTGAGCTCCGCCGCCGGTGCTGCTGCTGCCGCCGCGGCCGCTCCACTTCTACAGACTTGATTCTTCGACAGCCTCGCACGGCGCCTGCGCGGCCCCCTCCCCTCGCGCGCGCACCCGCGCGCGCCCGCCCTCTGCCACCTCCCTTCCCCCGCGCGGGGCCGAAGCTCGGTCTGGACGCGGGCCACCCGCCCCGGGGCGGACCTGGAACATGTGTGCCTTTTCGCTTAACCTGCACTCGCCCCCTGCTCCACTCTCCCAATCTACCACTCAGGCAGGATCCCCGCCCCCCTGTGTCCTTTTGGACTAAATCGTGCTGAAACTGCTTTTACACACAAGTCCACTTTGTTTCGTGGTTTCTGATGGTCTCCTGAGCATGGGGTTTTGGGGTCTTGAGCGGCCCTGCTTGGGCTTTCCTAGGACTCCTAATAGGCCAGACACGTTGGGTCGTGCGCGCGCACTCAAAAGTACTTTGGAGTGTATTTGTCTAAGGAGGAACACGAGGCTGCTGTCCCTTTAAGTTTCACAAACTCGGGAAAGCCAGACGCCTCCAGGCCAAGCCCCAAGCGCGCACGGAAGAGGGCTCGCGAGCCCCGCGCAGCCCGCCGTCTGCACGCTTAGCCGGGCCTTCGGCGCCGCCCCGCCGCCTTATGTAGGTCCGCGCGGCGGGCGCGTGACGTGGGCGCGAGCTGCCGCAAATGCGCACGCTCCGCGCGGACGTGCCCGGCGCCGCGGGCCTGGGCCCGCGCCGAGCGAGTGCACATTCCAAGGATCCGGGCTCTGCGGCGTCAAGGCGCAGGCCCCGCCTCTGACTCCCGCCCCGTAGTCCCCGCCCCGGGCCGAACTTGGACTGGCCAGGCGGGAGGCGCGGGCTAGCCGGGGCATTGGCTGCCTCCCGGGTCCGCGGGCGGTGGGGCGGCCTGCTGGCCGCCTTGGCAGTCCACCGTCCCAGCCTGACCTAGCTGCATAGGCTCAGGCCCGTCTGGCCAGCCCCCGGCTCCCTTCCGCGGTGGGCAGCGCAGGCCCTGCCCAGACTGGACTAAATATCGAGTTTCCCACTTTTGTCGGGAGGAGGAGCTGGTGTGTGCTGTGGGCGATCGCTTTGGGCTGGTCGCTTTTGGTTGGACTGACACACTTCCGCTCTGTAGGGCTGCTCGGGAGCTGCTTTTGTTGGGAGCACAGCCCCACTTCTCTCTCAGACTGGAATGAGCTGGTTAAGTGTGGGAAGAACAGGGTACTAATTATATTATCTTTCCTACAACTGGATTGGTAGGTGGAGAGGGAGAAAAAAAAATCCTGCTGACGTTTCTCTCCAGTTGCTGCTATTGAAAATGCCAGGTTGCTTCAAAGGATTAACCACAAGAGGAAACGCGCCTGTAGAAAAACAGTGGAGGGAGCTGCTTAGAGCACATGAAAAAACCTGTTCGAAATGGCACAGAAAACGTAATGCCAGACCCAGATTGTTCACAGGCTAACCTTGAATGTCTTCCCTTGAGGGTTTCCAGATAAGATATTCCTGCTGTCAAGAACTCCCCACCTGTCCCTCGCCTTGCGATTCCATCTCACCCTCTCTGAGCCAGGAGAATGGGGCCTACCGGTATCTCTTCCCAGAAGCAGTTGGTGCCGGCAGGTTTGGGCACTCCGGGTACCTCCCTCAGGACCTGTCCTTCTGGTCACTCTCAGCTTAGATCCTGCAACCCATTCCAGTCTGTGACTTCACCCATGGGGACAAAGCAAAGGGGAAGAATCACCCACCTTTCTGCTGCAGAGACTTAAGTGCCCCCAAGAGATTGCCCCACAAAGCAGGGACTGAAACATATTAAAAGAAAACACAACTCACCATTAGAGCCATGACCTAATTATACTCATTTACCTGGGAGCAGGAACTGAACGTCCTCAAGGGAAAGCCTGCCACTCCATCCAAAATAGAAACACTGAGATACAATGTCTGCCTTGAGAGACACTAAGTAAGGATCTCTGTGGAACAGAGCTTCTCTTCTACTGCAGAAAAGCATTTCCTTTTTATTGTACACTGCCAGCTTAATGTTGAAACTGAGCTGTTGGAACTTCCCTCAAGAAATAAATGCCTGCTGGAAAATGGGAAGGCTTTTTTAGTTCTGGACTCACCTGCCATAAAAGGATCCCCGGGCCCAAGGGGTTAAAGCAGGCCTTGGATCCAGGGCAGCAATTCCTTATATTGTATCAAAAGTCTTTAGTGCTGCTTGGCCTTTCATGTAGCTCTGCAGCAGCTTTATCGATGTATGCTAAGTAAACATAGCTTTGTTTTTGTCTTCCACCCACCGCCCTCCCTCTGGGCTCAGACTGGAGTTGGATGGCATCCAAAGCGGCTCCTGCAGCAGTTCCAGCCACCTCCTCCACACAGGAGCAGGGTTTCTAGGGTGAGGCAATGCGTCTGCAATTCGCAGAGACAAGGCAGGAATTGTAATTGTAGTTCATCATGTGATGACTTATGAAAGAGGAAGCTGGTATGTTTTAGTCACGTAGACTCTGCCCTCTTGCTCAAGGCTCCAGGTCCTCTCAGAAGAGTTAAGATCATCTTTGCCACTCGGCGTCAAGGTTACTGGGTTGGCTGCAGCATGCCCCTACACATTCCTAAGTGGCCAGGCAGGCACATGCCACGCCAGGTTGGTGAAGCAGTGGGCTGAGGTTGGCCTTTACCCAGAACACTGAGACATTGCTGTTTGTCTCAAGAACTGAGGGAAATATTCCCTGGGGAGCCCTCCTGCCAAGACTAGATGAAGCAACAGTCTTTCCCAGCTGTAATTTCTAAGATTTTTGAAAAATAAAAATCACAGTTGAGTAAAAGGAAAGCCATTCAATGTGACACTTTCAAAAACTGGGAGTAAGGGCAATGGCCGGAAAGGTTAGCCCACAGAAGCAGTTCTAGGGGTTGCTCCATGGCAGAGCAGAGCTGGCCTTCACACAGAGGGCTACCTGGGCTTCCACTGTGAGCAGCAACATCTGAAATCTGAATCTTTCCCTGGGGCTCACTCCAGTCAAGACACCCTTGTCATGCAGGGAAGTCCTGTACCAACAGTCCATGGGGCAGGGCACAGAAATGGTTACTAGCAAAGAGCCTGGAAGAACTCTGCCTTCAGGACACACTGCTGCAGGAGCTGTGGAGGCCCATGCCCCAGCAGCCTGTGGGTGTGTCCAGGGATTGCACTCCTATGGACTGTCAAGTTCATTGGTTCCACCCTCTATCCAGATGTGGAGTCACAGCCTGCCTTCCTTCTTTAGCTTGCAGCTTCTTTAAATAACCATGATGTTGCAACCAGAATACAGCTTCTTAAACTCTGACCTTGGCATGTTTGAAGGAGAAAAAAAAAATGCAGCCACATGTCATTTGGATTTCTGTGGATGTCATTGCAGACTCCTTGTGCTTGAGAAGAAGCGCTGTAAGACTAAAAGAGCAAGTATAACCTTCAGGGTGTTTCCACTTTTTAAAAAGTTATAAGTACATATTTGAACACATTTGTTAATATGAATACATCTACACAAGCTGGGAGCACCATGACATAAATAAACCTTCTGTTACTGGTGTGAGAGCCTTTCTTCTAAGTAATGGCATTTTTATGGGACATTGTCAGGTTTTCAAATTGCAAATACTCTTTTGTCAAAGTACTTTCTCTGCTTGACATCTCCCTGATGCCTACCTCCCTGTGCACAGAGGACATTCAGACATTAAAGAGGCCTTTGCAGAGAGAGGGTTCAAGAATCAGCACTTACTTAGGCATGCACATATGCAGAAGCTGCTGCCACCAGCCTGTGTGTCCACATTCATACAAGTCCTCATCTAAAGCAAAATTTTGGGTCTTGATGTAGGTTAACTACTGACTGTGTTGGAATTGAAAGAGCCAAGGGAAAAGCAGACAAAGCAGACCAAGGAGAGATTGAGGTCACACACTTGCTCGGTCTGCAAGGAAATTTACAGGAGACCTGGAGGAGAGTCAACAGCCATTTGGTGCCAGAACCCTCCTATTGGCTTTTTGGAAAGGGAAGGTTGGAATGCACTTTTCTGGAATAATATCTGGCTGTGGATTTCACTTCTATTAAAGACACTCACTAGAATCCTTTAAAAGATGTCAGTGGGAAAATGCTGACAAAATGATGACTTCACAGATAATATTTGAAAACATTAAAATGATAAATTTTCCTACTTAAAAATGTGCATTCCCTATGAACACATTCCATAGTAAGGAAACTGAAATCATCAAATGATGTAATAATTTTGGAAGGCTACAGAATAACATGATCGTGAGGTATTATATTTTTCATATGGGCATTTAAAATTAATATGTCAAGCATTTTAGTATCTTGTCATTCTTCTCAGAAACTAAAAACTTGAGGTATTAGAAGATTAAGTGGCTGGGCACAGTGCTGCACCCCTGTAATCCCAGTAGCTCTGGAGGCTGAGGCAAGAGGATCGCAAGTTCAAAGCCAGCCTCAGCAACTTAGCAAGGCACTAAGCAACTCAGTGAGACCCTGTCTCTAGATAAAATATTTTAAAAGAGCTAGGGATGTGGCTCAG